ATACTGTTGTCCAACTACAACAACTTTGAGATATTTTTTTCTTTCATGAGATGCATTGGAAACTGTGGCCTTAACTGCTCTTGCAAGTCACAACCAGCCATCAAAGAGAGGTCGGCATTGCTTTTGTGAAATCACCATTTTGACAGTTATCTTAAGTTAGAAGGAAGAGAAGTTGCTTATGGAATAGAGTTGCATTTCCCAATAGCAGTTTTCAACTTTAACCAAAGTTCTATGAGGAAAAAAAAAATAAGTTTTTCAAATAACTTCCAATTCCAGCAGTCTTCACCTCCTGATATGGAGGTCAGTGGGCTTTTCCTTTGGAGTATTCACCCAGCTTTCATCACAGTAGTTGGACGAAAGCATCTTCAATCTATTAGCTCCAAAGGAATTCTCCTAGTTTCTCTCCTGAGGGAGACTAAATCGATCCTGTAAACTGAAATACTTGTACACAAAGAAATCCTCTGAGTTGTGCTGGCCATACACATTCACATTGCATGTGACTTTTTTGCTGCACAAGGCTTCTTGTGTGTTTGTTCAGTATTTCAGCCGGTAGGGCTTGCACAGCTTGCAATTTACCACAGTTACACAAAAACTGCATAAAAATTTGAAGTGTGCTAATTACCACTTAAAAATCCTTCTACAAAATTTCAAGACTGTCTACCGGGTACATAACTCTTTTTCAACTCCCAGAATTGTTCCTGTGTCTACTCTACTGTTGCCTTGGCAGGGCAAGACTGGGGGAGCAGACAATAACTTAATCCACCCCAGTGTGCGCTAGGCAACACTATTAAGAACTTGCATTTCACAGATTTTCAGGTTCTGGTAACACCACAAGAGACTGTCTTTGAGAACAACAGAAAAACTTTATTACCAGAGTGAAAGAAGAAAAGTGCTCAAGAATTTAGTTAGAAAGACAAGCTGCAGCAATGCACAGAGTGCTTGGTAAGTGCTGGAGTTCCCTCAGCCCTGGAACTAAGTACATGTCACCGTGTACTAATCATGAAGCTGCAACATGCACTTTTACAGCATAGGTGTCCTAGGCCACATCTGGAAGACAACAAAACCAAAGACAGACCTGGCATGGGCAAAATCTCCTGTTGAGTCATCTAAAGGAATATAATCTTGCATCTTAAAGCCCAAAATGTGCACCATTTTCTTTCGCTTCAAATAAGGACTCTTTCTCCAGAGCTGTCAAATCTGCCAGTACCCAGTATATTGATGCCAGGTGGTACATCTCTTGGCTTTGCCAAAACACCAGGTCATAGAGTTGGAAAAGGAGATCATAAAGAAGTCAGAGTGCTGCTATTAAACTTGCCATACCATATTCAGAATATCAGAAATTTCTAGTCCACACTGGGCTGGTCAAGATGAGACAGAACAGATCCAGTCTGCTTGAGTATGCTACCAATTGTTAAGGTTGCAAGGAAGTTGAATAGCTGGAAGTTCACAGTGAAGAAAGGTGTGTCAGGGAGTTTTGGTAAGGTTTCCCATCTCTGCTCTGCAGCAAGTGGAAGGGAGTCTCACCCACAGGCCTGAGGCAGCTAAATGGCTACTAGTAACACAGCAGGTAAAAAATGCAAATCATCACATCTTCACACAGCAGGTCACATCTTGTTTCTCCCCATATATTAATAACATACCTTACAGTTTTAACACAGAGGTGCCAGTCAGAAAGGATTCTAAAACATATTTTAGAAAAATCCAATTCAAATGGTTTTAGCGTAGGCTTCCACACAGTGTGATCTTTATGTACTGCAGTCCCTGAATCTAAAGCTGCCAAAACCCAGATCCAGCACCTGAACCCATGAGCTCTACCACATGTCATAACAGCAGCTTTAGGACAATTTGACAATTGTTTTTGGTCTATCTAGCTGTAGTGTGCCAGCTGGGAAAAGCACTTTCCAAGACAACTACCGCAGGAGCTGTGGCATGGTGCATTATCTTAGTGCCTGTCAGTACGCACCCAGAAATCTGAGGAGAGTTGTCATGAGGGTTTTAAATTATGTGAATGAAGATTTGACTCTCAAACATCCACTGTGGTCAAGAAAGTCATCAACTTGCAAGCTACTCGACTCCTGATTTTAAATCAGTTTCCTTACAAACTGAGGAAATGAAGTGACTGCAAATGAAATCAATCTTTGTTCATTTAGGGGAACTTCTTGAGGCAATTACCTATGAAGGAATATAATTCAATCTGCAGGCTATACAAACTTGCAGGAAAAAAATCGTTAAAATACTAGTGAGTGCTGACAAGTAGGACTCTGTACTAGCAGAGAGCTGCTTTGAAGTATAAAAGACCACACCCACCCCAACCCTTCTCAAAACTACACAGGCACTGGTGTTAAATACTAAAGGAGTGAGCAGCAAACAACTTGGAAAGATGTAGTAATATTATCATGGATGTTAGTGTAAGCATGAAGATTAAGAGGCGGTGAACAGAACAGCAGGAGTCTCCAGAACTGATTGGAGATGCAGCATTCAGAACCAGAGGAGTAGTTCCCCCAGCTCCACCCAAACCATGGAGATAAGAAATGCTGATGTTCTCCCAACCTGCTTAAAGATCTCCTCTTCCCAAAGAAAACCAGCCTTATACCAGGTCTGCAGGCTAGTTTAGGTAGAGGCAGAGGAAGTGATGACAGGTATCTGAAGACTTTGTTACCAGATCTACAGCCTAGAACGCAATGGTAGTAGCCGACTTGGGTATGACATTGTGAGCAAAAGCCAAGGCTGATATGAAGTCACAACTGGTGAACACCAAGGTGAGTGCACAGAGAACACGAATCTGAACAAGTAATGAAGATAACAGTCCTCATGAAAGAAAGTTGTCAGCACCTGGAGCTGGACCTGCTGGTTTATCATTAAAGGCATGAGTAAGTAAGAAGATATGAGTGTCTGGGGCCCATGACAGTGACTGAATGCCTTGCTTCCCCCCTGACAGGCCCCCACCATCCTGGTCTCTGCAAGGACACTGCTCAAAGCTGCAGAATGCTGATACCAAGGAAGACTGAGGCAAGTTTCCTTTGGGCTTCTTAGAAGAAGCAGCAAGTGAGAAAAAAGGCAGATGGTTCCTACAGGATCATTTCAACCTCCCCTCTCTATCCTCCAAGTATCACCTTCTAGCCATAAGAGATGCAGTTGAAGGAGCTGTGTCTTGAACTACATGGCAGGCAGTTCCTTACCATAGATCAGTATTCAGCTTTGGCAACATGACCCTCAACCAACCTATTTTCTTAAGGCTTCCGGCAAGTAAGAAATGAAAAGAAAGCCAGAGCTACAAAATTACCATAGAAAATGTCAAAGAAGAAACAAACAGAACTAGTGACACTAAAACTGTAATCAGCATTTAATTTAAATGGAAAAGGCTCACACGTAACAAAAGGTTTCATATTACTTACAGCTGGTGAAGAGATTTTGAAGGGTCTGCAATTTTTTTTTTTTTTTAATCAAGCATACACAGAGACTTCTGGTTTCAGAAAACCAAGAAGGTTAACAATTTGGGGATTTAAGTACACTCTAGGTTGCACGGGCTCTGAAGCGGGAGAACTGAGCAAAAATTTATTCTAACATATGTTACACAGCATGATACAAACCTTCAGGTTAGTCTTCTAACCTCTCTTCAGTATTTAACATTAATTAAAATTAAAGTTAACATTTTATTAATGGTGAAAGACTGCAATCAGTATTTGGAAAGCATTCCACAAAACTTTTAAACTGTTCATATTCACTGACAAGGTATTATTCCTGTGTGATTTCTGTAATGAAAATATTAACTGAAAATTCTATATAAAAATACTTTTAACAAAGGTTTTATTATCATTGGTTATACACACATTACAAAACTCAAAAAATAATTAAATTGAATGAAAAGAGGATGAAACATCTTACATGCTATTCCATATAAGAAAACTAATTTGTTTAAGGATAGAAAACCAAGTCTAATATCAGAGGTCAGTCTGCCAAGGTGGTGTCTTCTATCCACTGTGGACCGTATTATTGTACCTGAGGACTCCCCGATTCCCCTGGTGCTGCTGCTTGCCTATTACATACTGCATTTTTACATTCTTCATCCGACAACAAGCCGCTTCAGTAATTCCTCTGCAAAATAGCAGTCTGCCAACAGTGCTGTCCAAGAGCAACACCCAGAGGCTAAATATACTGCTACAGCAACACTGTGCATTCTGACCAGTTTCTTTCTGAGGAGCACTGAAAACCTTCATAAACAACAATTTCCTGTAAAGATAAAGAGCTGACAAAACTCTTTCAATAGTAACAACAACAACAACAAAGTGTTGTCGGCAAACAAACCTTTTCATGAAAATCACACCTTTGTAGCTACTGCAAACAAGATTTAAGAACAGATGATCTATACACACAGTGATGTTGAGTAAATAAGCAGTAGTTTTTGTTAATGTGTGTGTATAGTATTTTGGCTGGCAGCAGCACTGCAAAGGAGCAACTAGAAGGATGACTGCTCTCTACAAAGCCAATTCCATTTTTCAAAAGCAGAAAGGCAGAAAAGAGGAAGGGTGCTCACCATTTCTTTCACCAGTTCTCAAAGCAGTACACTGTTTTTTTCCTTAAATCCTGAAGGCAGTTGCTGTGGGAACAACTTGTCTATGCGATAACAACAAAACTCCAGCAAAAAAACCCTAGAGCATCTTTAAGAGGAATATGTTATCTGGAATCAGAGCATGAAGAGGGATAACTGGATACAAAAACAACTCACTAAAGCTTCATCTTAAAGATCTCTGGCATCTAACAAGACTAATTTCTTTAAATTTAAAGCCTACATAGAGAAAAAGAAAAAGGCCGACAAACTAAGAATACAATGAGTAATATCACACTTATCTCCCCAAACACTTAATTAGAATAAAATATACTTAAAAGAAAACACAGTGAAGACTGTATAATCACAAAACATGATTGCACCTACCTAACCTTTTATATTTTGAGATTTCAGATCAGGTCAATGATTTCAAAACCAAACAAAACCAGAAGTCTCAATCAAATACCTGATGGAAAAGTTTCTCATCTATTAAGCAGAGTTTGCTCCGTTCTCCTCAGTTGATCACTTTTTTTTTTCCTCATGTCTTTTCTCAGAATCATGTTTTTTATGGGGCTCATACTCTTTACCTGCTTGCAGTGAAACTGGAATTGTATCTACTACAAGGAAGCAATCATTCCTCAGCACCTGCTCAGGCATCAGTCTGTTAGAGTAGAACAAATTCAAGAGAAGAGATTTAACTTTATCATCCTACAGAGGGAGAAGGATTTCATAAGTAAGCAAAACAAACTCGATTACAAATTAAAACCAAGCATTTGATGAACACATCTTCTAAGTGCTTAGGGCTCAAAGCCTTCACAAGATGTTGTGCCATAGCATTCCCAACAGACAGCAGCATTGACAGTCATAATGCTCATTAGCAACAAAATACAATCAAATGTTCAGCTCTAGGTCTGTCAGTCTGGTGCCAGTAGATTTCACAGAAAGCATAAGGTTTTGAAATTTTTGAAATAAATTCACTGAACCACTATAAATTACAGAAATACTCAAACTGGTCTTTCTACTGAGAAGGAACAAAACAGGTGCCATTCACCTTCTATAACTTCATCTTTTAATTTTTGTCATACTGTTTCATCACTGTACAGGAGCACAGGGGGAAAAGAAAACCAAAGTAACAGGCTCTAAATCAGCAGCAGCTATTCTGCTATTAACCCATCACTTACACTTAGGCTCTTTGGATTTATCAGAAGAGATTATGTGCCTAAATACTTAGCACATTAACAGCACTAGACTCCATAGACAAAACACAAATCCACAGCTGCTACACATATGCTTAAGCATCAGCTGTTGAGCAAGAAAGAGAACACACTGGATTTGGACAAGGGGACTACAAGAAAGACAATCTCAAATTCTGATCTAGAGATCTAGGTTACTAAACCTCAACTGGAACAGAATCTTTCCATAGGAAGGCTTGCTTGTTCACAGTCTCCAAGCCAGCAACTCTTCTGACCAGGGTCAATATTAACAGCAAAGCACAAGATACCTGTACACCGCTCATCTATCCCTCTTTCACCCAGACAGAAGAATCACTGTGAAGCAAAGGAACGTACACAAGTAGTCAAAAACTTGAAGACAGAAACAAGCAATTTCCAATTCTTTCACTAATTATCAGAGTGACTCTGGAGAATTAGTCAATCCCCAAATAATCTGAAATCTGGGTTAAAAGATGGGATCTGAAAACTGTTGATCTTGCAGGTATAAAGGGTTGTTCAATATTTGTAAAACATTTTAAATACTCAAAGGAAAATCTCTAGTTAAGGGGATGTGCAATGAAACACCGGATTGAATCATGACTACATACTTCCTCTGTAAAATAAAGTGAGGAAAATCTGAGCACTTGAAGAGCTTGAAAAGCTTTGTACTTGTGTATTTGCATTTCAAGATACTGTCAAATGTCTATCAACAATAAATATCACCTTCTCACACTTAGGAAACTGAAAATTGATTCCACAAGGAATACTGCTGTAGGACAACATTTCATCTTCTTTACTCCATTTCATTTTGTTTGATCTTACTTACTTTTTTTTTTCAAATACACAAAACTGAATGCTGAAACACTCTGAACATTGAAGGCTGACATAGCTAAATGAGTGGCTGCAAGATCTTTCCACTAGACATTACCTTTCCTCAACAGTTACCTAACATTAATATCCCAGTTTTAAAGCTTTATGTTATCTTCCTGTGGCAGTTTTGCATTTGTTGAAAACAACAAAAATTTTTCTAGTTGCAAGTGTGCAATTCCTCTGGGCACGAGATTGAGATGGAAGGGAAATTACGGTCTGTCAAGAGCCTGCAGATGGGCATGGAGATTAATTCCGAATAAGCTGATTATAGATAAAGCACTTTAAAGCAAAATAGATTTTCCCCAAGAACTGGGACAAGGATTAACAGCCAGAGGTCTAAAAGATTCCCCAAGAAACAGCTGAAAGATATTTATTAGTACTACATTTCTTAGTAAAACCCTCATCTGTATTTCTGAGAACTGCAGGCAACACAGATTGCTTACTGGTGGACATTAGTGGTGAGGCACATGCATGTACATGCATGCAGGATGAATCCTTAAAAACGAAGTAAAAATCCAATGCTGCTTCTTTTTATCAGGAGGAAAAAAAAATCAGAGAAATGTGCTCTTGTTAAAAGCTGTAATATTAATTCATGCCTGCTAAAAACAATACCAACTAAATTAATTAATTTTTCTTGAAACAAAAGCAGCTGTTTGCACTTCAAAAGGTACCTGTTACAGAAGAATACAGAAATATAATGCCCTGAAACTGGCCATTTAAACTTTGATTTGTATCCTTCAGACTTTATTTGTAAAGCATTGTCACAGCAGAAATTTTATGGAAACCAGAAGTGAGCCGACAAGTTTTAATGTCCCAAGAAATCTTTCCTAATTCCTTAGACAACTAAGTTTCCCTTATACATGAAAGAAAGTTAGGGATTTTTAGTATCTAAGGATTATTATGCTTAATCCTGAATGCTGCACTGGGCAAATGGCTCTGTACAAATTTTGTGAAATACATTTAAAACCCCCTAGCTGGCCCTAATGTTCAATCATGAAGTACTGAATCTTCTTCCCTACAGTATTGTGTGTTTCATGAGAGTCACTTTATTTTTAATTTAAAAAAAATCAGGCAACTGTAATGAGCTATAAGATGCACATTTACAGGATCACCTTTCTGCTCAAATTTAAGAACAGATGATATATACACACAGTGATGTTGAGCAAATAAGCAGTACTTTTTGTTAATGTGTGTGTATAGTATTTTGGCTGGCAGCAGCACTGCAAAGGAGCAACTAGAAGGATGACTACTCTCTACAAAGCCAATTCCATTTTTCAAAAGCAGAAAGGCATGTTTTTATTATTCTATTTTCCATGGTAGTCTCCCACTGGAAATAATTTTGCAGAAGGATTTGGTAGACAGTCCTGTGCATTATCAGTAATGTTTTCATCACTGAAGAACATTGTTGAAGTGAAGTTGTTAAAAGACATACTGTAGAGGAGTCATCTAATAAAGCAAGATTATTTGCAGTACTATGTTATACAGTGATACACAAACTACCCTGCCAGGATATTGAAGCTGTGTTAGTCTGGGACTGTATCATGACAGTTTCTTAACCTAAACACAGTAAACAGGATACACTAAGCTCATAATGAACACAACTCCAGTAATTTAACTCCATCTTAAACAGTCATCTCTGTAAAACTGGCAAATCATTAATACACGAGTATAACCAAGAAAGAGGAATTTATTATTTGGTCTTAATTCCTGGCCAGAAGACTGAAAGATTATAGGAATGACAGTTACACAAGAAAATAAACCCAAGGAAATACAAGCACTCAAGTAAAGAATGCACAGAGATGAGGGATAAAATTGGGTGCCCATCCAAGAGAAAGATAAGTTAGTGAAAGAACAACTGCAGAGTTGGAGACCCAAGTTGTGAAGCATGAAGGTGCACAGATCTTATTCTCAAATAGTGACTGGAACACTGGAACAGGATAAGTTTCAAAAAAAGGGTCTGAAAATAGAGTTCAAGGGAAAAACAGCTGCTGGCATAAGGTAGAGAAAGAATAACAGTATTGAGAGTAGAAAGAATGAAAACACAAATTTGTGTCATGCAGGGTTTACTTATATCTGTGCATTTGTTTCAGAGGTATAGGAAAACTTGTTTCACAAAAAAGAGACCAAATCCAAAGAGTAAAGGGCACAGTACAGTTTTTTAACTGCATTTAAGTGATTAAAATGGAATTTGGTGGTTTTATTAATGCTCAAGCACTGTGCTGTCATTATGTAGTAAGACAGATGAACAAAGTCAACTTCCTGACTTCAGAAAAGATAGATTTCTAATTCAAACACCTCCTTTGAGGCTGAATCTCAATGACTTATTCCCCAAGTCTGTAACTTGGTGTCATTCAATTAATGGTAAAGAAGTTGCTCCTTCTGAGGTCTGAGTTTAATATTAAGAAAACTTTGGGGCTTTCTACCTTCTCAGTCATCATTTTATTTGTGCATTCTATCTAGAATTATGCAAATAGTCAATTAAGAACATTTTTCAAGCCAGCACTTAAAATGAAATATTTGACTTTAAAATTTGATCAACCACTTCTAAACAAGAGCAGTCTTATCTTCCTCATCTGACAATTGACATACCATGGCAACCACATCTACCTCAGGTGTTCCATCTTCTTATATGCCAAACTCCTGGTTTTGAATGCAAAGCTGTAATAACACGGGTGGATTTTTTCCCTTTAGTTAGGAAAAGCAAACATCAGTCAAGAAGATTCACCAGGTTTCAAATGAAAATGGATTAATACAATAAAATGGCAAGGAAAGACTGTTTTCTAATTTTAAAGTAGGGTAAAACATGCAAACTGCTCAAGTTTCCCTTACACAGAAACAAGAGGAAAAAATATTATCAGAAGAAAGTTTTAGAGGTCAAAAGAAATAGACATTTAAAAATATGACGCAAAAGTACATGTCCAAGTTATGTTACGTAATCCTCTTTAAGAAATGTTGAGGGGTAAGTGTATTCTAGCAGACAAATGTGAACTCTGTACCCATAAACTAAGTATAATCCCCCCAGTCTTCACTATTACCCAGAAGCATGGACGAGTACCACACTTTCCAGACACTGCCTGCAGGTTAAGCTGAAAATTCCTCTACTCTGAACAACTACATAGAGAGCAAAAGGAAGCATGTGTTTTGTCAGTGCTGGGCTCTCGGGACACAGATCAGCACAGAACTCGGAAAAATCACTGTCTCCATTTTTGAAGTGTCTGTGCTGCTTAATGAGGGAGAACACAATTTTGGATGCCTAACATGAAACTGGCAACTGCGGAATGTAATATTAAGACTTGAGCTAGAATTTTCCATCAAATGATCAATGCAAGACCAAGTCTGAGCTGAAGATTAGTTACATGTGGGGCAATCTGAAATTCAGCTGGCAAATTTGGATGAGGGTTCAGAATGCCAATCTTGCTGCATCCCAGATAGTCTTTTCAACCAGAATCAGTAATTTGTTTCAGTCTTTGTTTCTTTGGGGGTTTCTGTTTGGTTTGGGTTTGTTTTTTTTTACTTTTTTTAATTTTTTTACCGTCACTTCTACTTACAAAACCCTTTAGAACAGATTATCTGAATAATGGTAGTAGAAGTATTCTAGCTAAATCCTACAATGTCAGTAAATTATAAAAACCTACAACATCAAGCTACACTTTAGCTCATCTATTTCATCACTTATTCATCTGAGTAGAAAAATTACTTAATTTTAAGCAACAGCTTCCTAAATTGGGAATAAAGCATAATGAAGAGTTACTTTTATATGAATCAGCTTCATCTTCTCAACCCAGGTAATTGCCAGTGGCTACCTATCAACTTGCACTGTTAGGAAGTGTTTTTAAAATGCTGCAGCAGAGAAAGCATTACTGAAGCCATCCCTGTGCAGATGAAAGAACTGCCAGTATTTCCCAGGAAGACCCCCATATACCTGGAGCTCCAGCTGATAATCAGTGAACCAGTTCCAATACATTAACTGCTCATGCAAAATCACTGCATGGGAACATAAGCACTTGCTGGGTAGCCTGTGGCTTTTCAAGTTTGGGAGCTTTGAACTTTTCCCATTTAGAACACATGGCACTGCCAGCCTGATCTGGGGAGGCAGCAGTACAGTGCCAGAAAAAGACATGGAGGAGATGCTGTCCAACATACCACCTAATGAAGGAAAGTAGGCTGCTTTCTCCTCCCTGGCACACCACACACTAAGAAACTATTAAAGCTCATAAGGTGGCAGAGAATACAAATTGCAAAGCCTCTCAGGTAAGAAAAAAAACTTTACAAATATACAAAGACATTCAGCACTATTTTCAAGAACTTTATTTCTGCCAGCTTTCCTATTTTTTCTTCTCTGACTTTCTGCTCTTTACCAAGTTTCTATCCTCTTCCATGACAGCAGCCAGCACCAGCTATAGACAGACTGGAGAAGACTAGTTTGCAGATTGCCAAGAGTCCTTGGTAACACATCAGTTACCAGTTACCAGCTCCATTTGTGATCATGCAGAAAGTACAAGCCCTGAGCAGTACTGACACCTTTGCAGAGAAGGCACACACTGGACCCAGGCTGTGAACCATGGTGAAACTTTCCTGTTCTATCATGCAAGCTGCTTATTTCAGCACAGCCCATACCTGCAGGAAGGACTAAAGAGAAGGACAGTCTTCCTCAGCTCTTGTAATTTTCACAATTACACCATCTGTACTGAGTATGACCTTTCAGAAAATTCAGCTGTCAAAAATTTGTAAGGTTCCCTGTCTTTTACAGTTGGAATTTAATTTTATGTTAAGTGGAAGGGAAAGTTTTTTTATGTAATTTCAAATTCATTGTAATCATCAGTATTAGGAATAGCAAAACTTGTGTATAATTCTGACTCTATCATACCAAGCAACAGTAATCTACTATAACAGGATTTAAAACCAGCTTCTGTATCACAATTCAGAAACTGAACATATTCTCAAACACATATTTTACTCAGTCTCCTTCCTGGAAACCCAAGTGAATCCCCTAAAACCTAATCACTGAGAAAGGTGTTCCCTTCATTTATGTGACACACCAAATGTTCTAGCCCTTTGCCTACTTGTTTCTTAAATCAAAAGGCTGTTTTTTTCCTTTTGATTAGCTAATCACCAATAAACATAATAGCAACATCATTCATCTACGAGCAACACCAGGTTCTATAATTCATTCACTTTTTTCTCTCATACACGGGCACATTTTTCATGTTGCCTCATTATTCAAGAATCTTTTTCCCAATAGGTTTCATCACTGTATCTTATTTTAAATCCCTCTTGGGAGCTTACTGCCCCTTTACAGTGTTTGAGGCACATCTGCAAGTTCTTTTTTCCCTTAAGCATCATCAGAATAATTATTGCATGATCAAACAAACAGCAGTGAAGCTGAAGTGAATATTACCAGTGAAGCTGAATTAATATTTACATTCTTTAAACTTCTCCGAGGGGTAGTGGGGAACCCTGAAAACTGGGACATTGACTTCTCACCAAAGAGGAGGCACACGCATTATCAACAAAGTTGGATGTTAAAGTTACACAAGCAGCACAGTAGAACGAGATGGACAAAACTTACCATGCTGTGAACAACACCCACCACCAGAGGGAATAAGTTAAAAGCATAGTGCCATGGCTGGGGACTGAAACAGAAAAATTACTACATACTGACTTTTTTTTTTCTTTTTTGATTGCTTGGTTGGTTGGGGTTTTTTGGTTTTTATGCCATTCAAGCTTGGCCTCAGGGCTGTAAAACTTCCACATTTAAAGGCAAAACTGAATTCAGAAAACTGACACAGTTACCACTTACTTGGAATAGACTAAATTAATGTTTCTAAACCAATCTGAGAAACAACAGACAAAAATACCAACACTATAACATTTTCATACTTCCTCAAACTTGTTCTTTCCAATCAGCTTCCATTGTGTTTGGGCCTTTAAGCTTTTCACAATTTTCTTAACTGATTATAAGTTGTTAATATTGGGTCTTCTATTCAGTCATTCCTCTGCCTGCTTTTTTGAACTAGGAAGACAAGAAAAAAATCAGGAAGTATTAAAGCTTTCTATTTTGATATGCTTTAGTCCAATGCATTAGATAAACTGCCTGAAGCCTATTTGAATTCAGCTTGTCAGGGTCTTTCCCCACAGAATAGGGGGTTTACTGTGTTTCATTTTCATTACACTAATAATCTTCTGAAAAAACAACATTCTACTTAGAGCTCAATCCCCTTAAATTACATACTACTGATTTGTCATGAATCCAGAGATTCCAGCTTCCACTGCTTTATTTTTTAAGAAAGTATCTTTGTATTTAACTGAAATGTAGCATTGGCTAAGGTAATGTACCACTGGAAATCCGAAGCTTTAACCCAACCTACCTCTCATCACCAATGTACCCCTAGAATTTTCTCATTAAAAGATAGAGACATTTATCAAAAAGAAATTATGTGAGAAAAGGTTACCTGTATAGATCAGTGTCATAGAGATAGATAAGGCATAAACACACCTCAGCACTGGCCAAGTATCTGTTTCGTATGACAGTGATCATACTTTGCTCATGATGAACTTTACACATAACTTTATTGTAAGTACTTATAATTATTCCCTTCTCTGCTTCATCATGCTCCTGGACTGAATTACATAGAGGGAGATTAAATATTAAGAGTCATTCTTCATTTATACACAACAATATTTAAGATGTAAAACCTTTACTGAGAAGTTCCATTGTTAATGAAAAAAGTAATTTATCAGATTTTTCGCTCTTTTCTTATGGAGGTTCTAAAAGGGCAGTCAGCAAGTCATCCAAGAGTTTCAGTAGAATAAAACGGATTGGCACTTCTATGCAGAAGTCCAATTTCACATTCCACATGCTACAAAAGAATTCTTTTTAAAGATACCACAGTTAAATAGATATGGAACATTAGAACATGCAACCAATGAGAGTCACTGGTTCTATCACCAAGAGCAGTCACAAGCAGACTAAACTACTGGTTTATTGTTAGTATGATGCTACATCAAAGGACAGATGCAACTTTTGCTGACATGACCATTCTTGGGCGCAACAGGGACTCTCATTGCAGAGACAATGAAAATATCTCAGCATCAGCAAAAGAGAATGGAGGAAAGGCTTATCAGAAAATATAAATAACTGAGAAAAAGGCTAACACTATCATAGACAATTATTATCAGTAAGGCAAGAACACTTGCCCCATGTAAGATGAAAGTGATGAAAAACTGTTCATCTCTTAACACTGGAAAAAGTAAGTTTATCCATACACATTCCCCCAGAGAGGAAATCCCATGATTTTAATCAGAATTTTCACCTGTATTTTCAACACAAGCACCAAAACTTGGTAAGGCTCAAAGAAAGCTTCTCTGCATATAGAGAGGGAAGAACCAGTTTTCCCAATATTTCTTATTTAAGCCAGTTGTACATACAGCTAAGTTCTTGTAATGTAAAGCTGTCCTTTCTGCCTGTTGCCTGGAAAATACATCCTTTTGTCTCTGGGGAGCAACCCAAGCGGCTTTCTATCACATTTCCACAAAATCAAAGAAAAATGCTGCCTTGTAGCAAATATCTTGTCTGATACATTAAGTTTTAAACTGAAATCAAATATGTGTAAAATATACAAAAGTCATGACAGAGCTGGCATGATTAGAAGTTACATTTAATTCTATATCCAGTTCTTCAGAAAGTCAACTCAACCTTTTTGAGAATTTAATCTGCACTGCCAACCACTTCATCTAAGTCAGAAAATGCTTCTAACATCAGGTTACAACACTTCAAAGAGCAGAAAGAAACAATCAGCCTTGCAATTGAAAATAAGAAATTAGCAAGCAGAGAGCAAAACCAAGTAAGAAATGCAAAGAGTTAGCACTACTGGAAATCTAATCTGGATTTGAGTCAGAACTCACCTCACACTTGAGTAATATACCAATTTCTAGAACTAACAGAGTTAAGATTCACTAGGCAAAAATAAAGTTGGTTCTTGCCTTGACTGGGTTTTATTTTTCTAATCTCATTTTGTTTTTTATCAAAAATGAAACCAAAGAGGAAGAATCCAAATCCTCCTGAGTTTCATGTCAAAAATCAACATGTGCTGCCCACACAGTGGTACATGAGATTTACATTCCTATATGCTACAGCCTGACATAAAGACACATCCTGGGATCTATTTCACAGTTTATCGAGTGTGAAATAAGGTCAAAGATTTCACCAGGAAACCATAAGTGCTTTCATAAAAGTCAGAAATAACTTTGCTTTAAGATACAAGGTGCAGAAGGTGCCAGAGAAAAATCAGTAAAATCAACTTATAATCACACTGAATGTTGTTTTTAGCAAAGTTTTGTTGCTCATATCTAGAGAAGAAGAAATATTACACTGGCAAGCAGAATTAAAAAAGAAATATGGTCCTGTATTTAACATGCAAGATACCAGTCATAACAGAAACCTGCAAACCCCACCTTGTTCATTTACCTATCAAGCTTGTGTACTCCACTAAATACTTGAAAATATTTTATTGTCTTAACCTTAATGAAGCTAAAAAAAACTTTAACAATGCAAGTTCAAACAATGTTTCTTCCAAAAGCCTGGAGTTGTATACTGGAAAGAAGTCATACAGGCTCTGAAAATTTCCTTGTCTGCCATTGACCCATTTCCTATTATATATACTCTCACAGTATATATATACAGATGCTACAGTAGATTCATTTGGATTCAGAAAGAGAGGAAAAGGAGTATCTATTAAAAATAAAGAGAAGGCAAACACTTCAAAGAAACATTTCCTTTACATGATTGTTCAGTATTTCTTTTTTAAAGGAAGTAGAACTTAAATTGCAACAGAAAAATTGCATATCAAAAGTCAAAGCGATTAAGAAGGATAAATGAAAATTCCTTTCTCAGTCTATCTACCAGTGCTTTACCAACCCATGCCAAAAGTCTGTACATTTCCTCTACCTCTGAAGCATTTGCAGAAAAGTTCAGATTTGAAATAGGTAAACCAAAGTTCATCACTATACTGACAAACTTGAGCCACTTTCATTCATGCAGAATAGCACTCTGAATTGCAATCACAGAAACCCACCTGCCAGTTTGTTTGCCCCCTCTAATAACTGACATGATTATAAACATCTGTAAGTAATTATATTCATTAACATTGTACTCCACATGACATGCACCAAGTCTACACTGCTGCTGAACAGCATTTATCATCTGGTCAAGGAACACTGATACTCATAACAGCATCTGGCCACAGTAAATGCTCTGGGTACAATGAAATGCAAGAGCAGAAAACTTATACACTAGGAAAGGGCACAACCCTTGTGCATTACGTACAATATACATGGGCAGGAAGGCTATGTTGACACAAACTGAGAACATTTACATGCAAGTGTGACAGGGAGATAGGGAAGCTGGGCCTGAAGGAATGGGGAGAGAGGAGCTGACAGTCTTTCCAGGAAGACTAGGAGTCCTAAACTGAGCAAAAGCACAGAGACAGGAAAGTCACAGTTACCTTCCTACTTCGCATTTTCTTCATAAGCAGAACTCAATGGATGGTGATCCACTTGCACCACCCATCTCCTTTTATGAGAAATATTTAACATAGAAAAAGTTAGCACTATCTGCTGGTATAAAATTATTTTTAGTACAAAGGTCTCTTTCTATGTCCAGTGAAGTATATTTTACATTCCACTTTCCTTTGAGATCAAGTGCCAGTATGTCTACCAGAAAATGCAACGCAGAAAAGGATCTCAGAGATCATCAAGTTTGATTTTTGTTCCTTGAAAACATGGAAGGAAAAGGCACCACAAAAAGCTGAACAGCTCATAAGAAGTTGTTTGTATTCTAGTTATTTGTTCCCTGTGGACTTTAAAGTCATACTTATCAGGATAAAGAACAAAATGGGGTTCAATTTATAATGCTCCTTATAGAGCTGCTCAACTTGAGAAAACAAAGTGGATTTGTACTAAGAAATAAGGTGAGCAGCCGAGGAATTCTTCTGAATGTAAAGTCACTTGTCAGGAGCCTTTTAGACCCTTGAGCAACCAAACAGAACACCAGGTAAAATGACTGACACTACCACCAGAAGCTGGAAAGGGGCAGCAATGGCCTCCCCTTGCTGAGGGCTGCAGGTACTGTGAAGGTCAGGAATTGACTTTAACCAGTTTTGTAGGACTACACACGATGATCAGGCAACCAGACCTAGCACTACAGACACACCAAAGCAAAAGTTCAGATTGGGGCCAAAAGAATAAGAATTTCCTCACATTATAATTAACTAAATACAGTGATCAAAAAAGGAACCAAAACAAAACAAAAAAAAAACCCAATCCTCCACTGAACAGTATTTTATAAAAATTACAAAACCACTTTCATAACAATAGCTACTACAATGAACAACATTCATTCAGTATAATAGACTGTTTCAACAGCAATTTCCTACTGAGCCAAGTGACATGAGCTTTGTACAAATCTGCTTGTCTACAAGCAAATACCAGGAAAAGGTTTGTGCTAAATTTATGGAGGCTATTGAAATCATTCAAGTGCATAACAGAATTCTCTCACATTTTTCTGAGTAGATGGGATTCAGTACACCAGGATACACATAGACAGAAAAATGGCTCAGCAAGGTAAAAGCCAGGTTCAAATGGAACAGTCTGAAGGAGGGAGGAAAAAAATCAACCCATTTAACAGCAAACAAAAGTAGGTAATAGTGCAGAGAAAACTGCTCAGTAACAGTTTCATATCCAATATCACACTCTGTTTACAAAAATAATAGCACTAGTCACACCAGGACAGTATCTGCACATATTCTATCAGGCTGTCTTCAAGAAAAGAATCCTGTAAGTTAGGTCCTACTTCATCCCATTTATTTTTCATACTATAAACACATTTCTCTAAAACACTAGCAACTTCATCATCATAGGGATACAGAAGCAGTTTCCATTAGGACAACAAACTACCATATGAAGATGGCTCAGTGGCCTTTGTGCACTTGTGCCAGCCACTATCTCTAAGCATGGTAATTCAAAGGGAGCAGAACAAGCTACTACACACTATCCATGAGGCAAAGGAAACTTGCTTACAGATAGATAACACCTGTTCAGCTCACACCCTAGTTTGCTTTATGGAAAAATATTTGTTTCTCTAGGACAGCACAGCATGACCACTTCAGCTCTATAAAATTGCAAACAAGGTTCTCACTAATATTTGGTAAACACTTATTTCACTTTCCCTATATGGGAAAGCTATTTTGGTCTTCCAGCTCCAAACACAAGAGAGGACCATCGACACAGTTAAGCTAAAGCTCAACATTTAATTAACACGCTTAGCAGCATTTCAGTACCCCTTCAAATATTTTCAAAACACTCTTAAAATTTCACTTCTGTACAATTATGTAGAAGATGCTTGATGCCTACCACCTAGTGGATTCACACAGTATAGCCTTTAAACACTCACACAAATATCCCAAAACCAACACAAAACAGAAAAAACCATACAAACACACTACAACTTTCCTCTATCTGAAGGAGCAGGACTCTCACAATGCCTCTAGTGATAAAAAACCATGAAATGCTACCTATGAGGTATCTTTTTACAATTAGATACCAATCTGTATATCAGACTATAAAAAAAAAAGAGTATGAAACATTTTATTAATAGCATTGAAAAATAATTCCATTGGAAATTGAGTAATTCCATGAAAATTTGAATGCTTCAATTTATTAATGCTGCTCCAGTCTTATACAAACTTATGTGCAGACTGCAATCTTGGTGATTATTCATAAGAATTCAATCTCATATATGTGTGGATGAATAAACCTCTGGAATTTGTACAGACAAGCTGCCCAAATACCAACAACCTTTTTCGCCTCTCCACACACATTTGCACAGTCAAAATTAAGGCAAGTAATATTTCTGATATTAAAAAGAAGAAAATAAATTATTTCTAATAGCAAAGTCCAGTAACACTTCTATTGGCAAAGTCCTCTTCAAAAGTCCTTACTGCCTCTACAGAGCCTATTTCCCTATCTACATCCTTACTTTCTGGTTTTGGGTTGTCTGAGAGGGAAAGAGACTCTTGGTAGGAAAGCATATAATCAAATCAAACAACACACGACCACAATTTACAGGATAACAGCATTGACTTTTTAATTGTAGGTTCTCTCATTAACAGCCATCTTCTACTAAATATTCTGTGCTTAGTGAAGTCTTGTTAATCACCCAACACAGAACCATAAAGTTCCCTAAATCCAGGATCTAGATAATAATTTCCCTCTAGAAACAAAACATCTAGGAGACCAAGATCACAAGTAAATTAAGTATTACAAGAGCCAGACGTGTAGCTTACCTTGGAAGTGTTACCTAAAACTTCATCTGCTGCTGTCAGTCTCCAACTATAAAATGTTTAACATTGAAGAAACGCCCTCCACAGATTCTCAGAGTTTCAGAATCTATACTGATCGAAGCAATCTCCTTACCTGTAACACTCTTGAGGGCCCAGAGAGGGCACTTGATCCACTTCCAAAATTAATTCTTTCACTGCTGAATACAAGTTCTGCTGCACCTCATCTTGCTTGATAAACAATTCATCTCTTTCATCCTATGCAGGAAGAAAAGCAAGTCAGCAACTCTCACCCAAAGAATGTAGAAAGTGATACAAAAAAAAGCATTAATCCTTGCGAAGTATGAGTAACACAATACATGCCTGACTAGGAATGAGTGAAAAAGCTAATTTTTTTAACTTCCACTCCTATGGCATGACTACCTTGCACAGATACAGCACCGTTTACAGTGTAAAGATATGACTACATGATCAGAAAACTAAAGAAACGGTTTCTGCATGACTGTTGATAACAGTGGGAATCTTAACTGCCACTGAAAATTTAAAATGTCCTGGTTGTCCTGTAGTTTTTGATTGTATTACAGAGATTAGAATTTGGATTATCCACACTTTCATACATCCAAAATTACATCCACAAAATCAGACTGCAAAAGTTTTCTTACTGGAAAAGAATGCTCTGGAATAAAAAAATCCTTGTCTTCTAGTAGGAAAAGCAGGTGAACTGTGAACTTCCTACTGATTATCTGCAGAAAAATTATTAAACTAAACATAATTTTCTAGAAACAAAACAAAACAAAGCTTCCCTTGAATGACTGGAAGGATTAGTTCTGCTAATAGGAGAGGAACCTCATATTCATAACAGACAAGGTACCTATCAGACTTACCAAAACCAAACCTTTTGAAATGGATGAAAGAAATTAAAAATCCATACTTGGAAGTATGCTTGCAATGTTCTTTTCAGAGTGATTTAACTCGACATGCTCATAGATATATAAAAACACATATGAACATGGAAGATCAAGCTGCAGCTTTATGGACCTGTTGTAAAGATTTGCTACTTCCTTCTACATCCATCTCCAAAAATAAAAAAAAAAAGTAAAATGATTGAAGTAGCTATAACATGCTGTCCTGATATGTGTTCCCTTCCCTATCACACACACACATGCTGCTTCAAAACCTTGGAAAGTCTAGTGCAGAGGGCAATTATTAGTGAGGAAACAGAAAACAACAGAAGAGTTAATCATAGCACTAATACCATGGAGCCAAAGAACAGTCAAATGAACACCTCCTGCTAACAAGAAATAAATAATATAAATGTATCTGTAATATCAATATGTAAATGCAAACACAGGTTCAAATGTGGTCTTCAGTTTAGTTTAATGAAATCTTAGAAATGGACGTAATCAGCAATTTTTAAGTATCCACCATAGACTAGAAATCTTTTACCAGTAACAGACAAGGACAGAATGAGATCCAGTGGTTGGAAATTGAAAGATGGACAAGCTCCAACTGAAAATAAAACTCCAAGTTGTCGCACATACTGCTTTATAAACAGATTAGCAATAGAACAGTTGCTGTAATTCAGCCACACATTAATAGCCTGGATAATAAAAATCACTAGATTAAGTTGTACTACAGAAGGTGAACAGAATGTATTGCTTTAGCACTTAAAAACATGAAACAACAACAACAGAAAAGATTTTAATAGGCCCTCCTGCACTTTTGGCCATCACTGGAGACTTCCTGCTGTTTTTCCTGCATAAGGCAAGAGCTACTTTGTAAACCAATTCTGTAACATGCTGCATAAAAAATAATAAGGACCCCTCATCATAAAGAACACTTTCCAATACTTCTACAGAATGTTACTTCAAAAACTAGAGCAATAGACACCTCACGTAGCAGAAGATTCAACCAGGCAACCAAATGCCAGCTAATACCAGTTAAAGCACTAGAGAAAATTTAACAGTCTACACATGACTAAATGACTATCAAGGAGCTCAACAGATGGCTCAGGAGCCACAGGACAAATCTCCTTCCAACCTGTGTACATGGGACACTTCATGGCTCAGCTAATGCCCATTAGATAACTTCACAGAACATTAAGTACAGAAGCAGTATTTTAATAGTCTGCTTTACAAAGATGCAAGCTCTTCACAGTAGTAAACATTACGATTAAATTCCTTTAAAACAGACTAAATGCTTCTCAAATTACAAAATTTAGTTCATTAAAAGAAACCCACAACAACAAAACCCACAACACAAACAACTGCACAAACAGCACCACACAACCAACCACCAGACTTGGTAATATCACTTCCAATCTGGCTCACCATCTTGTTTCTAATAACTATAGCGATGCTAATGAAAGTCCACAACAGCAGTTTTTGTCTCCCTTTAGTGCAAGTTACTACTTTGCAGTATATGGAATATCTAAAGATAGGTCTGGCATCAACATCTGTCCTTAAATTGTTCAAATTATCCCAGCAACCCCCACTTTTTTTTTTTTTTTAATGAGCAACTGAATAGTTCCCCTTTTTTAAACATTAGCATGATTATTTTTTCTTCTTTCCCACCAAGAAATAAAAAGCTGAATATGTACACTACAGTCTCCAATAAGTTTCAAAACTGAAATCACAAATAAGCGACAAATCCATACAACACTAACTACAGTGTCTGAGAAGTCAGCATGTATATTACACCCTATCACTATGAGTACCTACTTACACTGCAGTCAGGGGAACTTCTAATTACCCCTGTTTTTTCATTACTGAAAGCTGCCATCCTTTCAGTAATGCTTCTATAGGAAAGCTGGTAAAGTCATCATCACCACTACATTCCACTTTGGACACAGAATTTACATAAAATTCTATTATTAGTTTTGAATGTATTTTAAGCATTTCCATAAATACCTTATAAAAAAAAATGTTCCAGTCTCCCATCTTCATTTTTGGGACAATATCTAGGAGAGACCCAGTTAAACCACCATAAACCAACTAAGAAAACACAGACAATGAAAACTGAAATAAAGCCACTTACTCTGCACTCAAACTTTTATTGGGTGTACTCACACCTGGGATAGTTGTTTAAGACGCATTACATTTCCTCAAGCCAAGATAAGATGTTCACTTCCAAGAGCTTAAAAATAATGAGCCTCGTGACAGTGAGAGAGGGCACCAGCGCTTCAGGGAGGTTAAAAGAAGATCACATTGCTTAGGCAACTGAACAGCAAGATATAACTTAGTAAAGCCAATTTTGACAGGTAGGTTGACAGATTGAGCAGAATTAAACACTCTGCTTTAGTTTAATAGCCAACTATTTCATCCATCTGTTCGGGTTCACTGGACTTCCTGTTTGGGTTCAGTGGACTTCCTGTACACTGGATTTACATGTACTTCATTTTAACTGAGCAGGAAACAAAGTCAGTGACATCATCACACTTGGTTGCACTATCCAAAATGTCTGCTAGCCAACCTGTAGTCAGTATAATTTAAGCGGGTATGACAGGCAGACTAACAAGCACACCATTTACTGTGTGCATCTTGGACATTTCTTGTATTTGAAAATACAGTAGCCAAGACTCTGTGGTATGGTACAGCACAGAAAAGAGATTCTTAAAAACCAAAATTACTCTCAGCAAAATAAAAAGTTAAGTCACTACACTGCGCATTTTAGGGACAGGCAGGGCAGGAGAGGTGGAGGGGTGGCACTCTATGTAATCGAAGGCTTAGAATGTATGGAGCTCACTGTTGGCACTGGCACAGTTGAGAGCCTCTGGGCTCTCGAGAGGCAAAGCAATAACATGGATGTCATCGTAGAAGTCTGCTATAGACCTCCCAGCCAGGATGGTGGCGCTGATGAATTATTCTTTGAGGAACTAAGGGAAACTTCCAAGTCAAGTGCCCTTGTCCTTAAGGGGGACTTCAATATGCCAGAAATTAACTGAGAGCATCACACAGCTGGTACAACCCAGGCCAGAAGATTCCTAAAAACCTGGATGACAACTATATGGGACAGGTTATAAGGCAGCCAGCTTGGAAAGATGCTTTCCTTGATCTGCTGCTTGTCAACAGAGAAGTGGAGATTGGTGCCCATCTTGGCCACAGCAACCACAAAGCCATCAACTTTAAAATCTCTGTTGACAGGAGGAAAAGTGCCAGCAAAACCTCAACACTGGACATGAAGAGAGCAGACCTCAGGCTGCTCAGGGAATTACTAAGTAAGGTCCCCTGGGAAAATGTTTTTGCAGGTGCCGGTGCCCATCAGTGCTGGTCACTTTTCAAACATGAACTCCTAAGGGCAGGCAATTCCCAAATGTCAGAAATCAAGCAGGCAAGACAGAAGGCCTGCTTGGCTGAACAGGGGTCATCTCTTGGAAACAAGGCAAAAAGGAAGATGTATGCCCAGTGGAAGCAAGGTCAAGTGACATGGGAAGAGTTCAGAGATGCTGCTTGCTGCTGTAGGGAGAAGATTTGTGTGGCCAAAGCTCAGCTGGAGTTGAAGCTGCCAGAAATGTGGGGGACAATAAAAAGAGTTTTTTCAAATACATTAATGGCAATAGTTGTCTTTTGTCTTTTCTCTAATGAGAAAACACAACGCAGAAAGAATCGTGTCTTGCCGATACCATCCAAGGGGTCTTTCCATTGTGCCCTTTGCAACCAGACTTGTCTATCTGGCATTGGCCTCTTTAGCCACCAGCACGCTTGTAGCAAATGTGGGTAGAGCCCTTCCCAAATCTTTGTTCGCGAAGCCCAGCCATGAATGGCAATAGGCAGTATAGAAATATCATCAGCCCATTACAGGATGAGGATGGTCACCTCACAAACAAGGACAGACAAAGGTAGAGGTGTTTGACACATTCTTCACCTGTCTTCAACACAGATGACGGACCAAGGGCATCTCAGTGGAGAAACTGAGAGGACCATGACTGTGAGAATTATCAACTCCTAGACGAACCTGAGATTTTGTGGGATCTGCTGCTCCAGCTGGATCCCTACAAGTCTATGAAGCCTGATGGGATTCATCCAAGAATCCTCAAAGAGCTGGCTGATGTCATTGGAAAACCTCTCTTGATGATTTTTGAGTGGTCTTGGGAATCTGGAGAGGTCCCAGATGACAAGAAGTTGGCAAACATCCCAATTTTCAAGAAGGACAAGAAGGAGGATGTCAGAAACTACAGGCCTGTCAGCCTCAATTCAAGCTATGGAGAAGATTATTCTGGGAGCTATTGAAAAACACCTGAAAGACAACAGAGTCATCGGTCACAGCCACCACAGCTTCATGAGAGAAAAGTCCTGCTTATCAAATCTGATTTCCTTTTATGACAAGGTAACCCACTTAGTTGATCAGGGGAAGCCAGTTGATGTCATCTTTTTGGATTTCGGTAAAGCTTTTGATACAGCTTCTCACAGGATCCTTCTGGACAAAATGTCCAGCACACAGCTGGATAAACACATAATGGGCTGGATGAACAACTGGCTCATGGGTCGAGCACAGAGGGTAATAGTGAATGGGGTCTGGCAACAGGACCAGCAGCCTGTCACTAGTGGGGTTCCACAGGGCTCCATCTTGGGCCCTGTGCTCTTTAACGTTTTCATAAATTACTTGGAAGCAGGACTGGAAGGAATACTGAGCAAGTTTGCAGATGGCACAAAACTGGGGGGAGCTGTTGACTCCCTCAAATGCAGGGAGGCCCTGCAGAGAGACCTCAACAAATTACAGGACTGGGCAATCTCCAATCAGGTGAAGTTCAGCAAGGGAAAGTGCCGGATTCTGCACCTGGCATGGGTCAACCCCACATGTACAGACAGACTGGGAAATTAGATGCTGGAAAGCAGTGCTATGGAAAGGGACCTGAGAGTCCTGGTCAACAGCAAGTTGACTATGAGTCAGCAGTGCCCTGGCAGCCAGAAGGGCCAACTGTGTCCTGGGGGGCATCAGGCAAAGCATTGCCAGCCGGTTGAGGAAAGGGATTGTCCCACTCTGCTCTGCACTGGAGTGGCATCACCTTGAATATTGTGGCAGGTTTTTTCACTGCAATATAAGAAAGATATTCAGCTCTTAAAGAGCGTCCAAAGGAGGGCAATGAAGATGGTGAAGGGCCTTGAGGGGGAGCCATATGAAGAGCAGCTGAGGACACTTGGTCTGTTCAGCCTGGCAAAGAGGACACCCAGGGGAGACCCCATTGCAGTCTACAACTTCTTTGTGAGGGGAAGAGGAGAGGCAGGCACTGATCTGTTTTCTGTGGTGAGCAGTGACAGGATCTGAGGGAATGGCCTGATGTTGTGTCAGGGGAGGTTTAGGTTGGATATTAGAAAAAGGTTCTTCATCCAGAGGGTGGTTGGGCACTGGAAGAGGCTCCCCAGGGAAGTGGTCACAGCACCAAGCGTGACAGAGTTCAAGAAGCACTTGGATGATACTGTCAGGCACGTGGTGTGACTCTTGGGGATGGTCCTGCGCAGGGCTGAGGGCTGGACTCGATGATCCTTGTGGGTGCCTTCCAACTCAGCATATTCTGTGATTCTGTAATTCTGTAATTTGTGTGGCACTGCAAGACTAGCATGATGCCAATAAAACTTTTGTTCTGTATCCTTTGCCTGCCAAAGACTTCAAAATACTTAAAACAAGACCCTTAAGATGTCCTGCTTCCAGCTGCTACTTAATTATCTTGAAACCTACATTAATTCTTCAGGGAGCTCTACACTTCCAAACACATTCCCACTTGCATACCCCTTGCAGCACTTGGGCACTCTGGGGGATACCTGACATCCTGTAGAACTTCTGTCTTCTTTAATTTTCCCGATTTAAAATATTTGTGACACTGCTACGACAACTTCCCCACTTCAGATAGCAGGATTTTTTTTTACAACAGCATGTTCTTGGAAAGTTATGATTTCATGCCACCATTCCTTTGCACCTTATCTTAGGCAACCAGGAATAATGTCAGAATGGGTGGGGCAGCCTGGAGGGGTGTGGAGGGGGTTGGTTTCTGAACAAAAACAGTTTTTAAGCCACACATGAGGCCACATTGATCACACAAGAGGGCTACACAAATACTTGTGGAGCTACCAGAAGCAGCAAAGTGCTGTAAGCTCCTTTCAGCAGTATTTTGAGTATTTTGGCAGTGTAACACACTACAACTCATCATGCAGACATGACTTCATTGTTAGTCATTTCACAATTGAAATGGGTGACAATGTCCAGATCATCTAACATATTCCAAGAAATTAGTCCATCACTCAAATAGTCTTCAAGAATGAAACACTTTTTCATTATGTTTGTCATGGAAGAATGCTGCTTGCTGGGGTTGGCAATGCAAAACCAAAACAAAACCACAAGCCCAAATACACACACAGTGTCACCAGAATGGCACCAAAGAAACCATCTCCTCTATTAAATAAATACCTTTGAGACTAATTAGTCACACCACAGAATCTGCATCCATCCTAAGTTTGGTCCACATTAACAGTTTTCTTTTCCTCAATCTCCAGCTCAACTGAGTCAAAGCAAAACTGTCCAGTGGGGTGAAAACGATTTCTAAGATGGCTTTGCTTTACTTATGGGCTGTTGTTCAATCGGACTTATGGACCCCACTGAGCTCAATCAGCCTGTAAGGTAAACATGTAAGTATTCGTCCCAAGAATGCCAAGACAGTGAAAGGATTAAAAAAAAAAAAAAGGTTTATTTCAGATGCAAGGATCGCTTTTTCAAGATCCTGCAGCATCAGGCCCCAGGGGCAAAAGCAAAGCCTCTCCTCCTCCAAGGCTTTTTCTATCTTCTCTCTCTTTTCCCCCACTCTCTCTCTGGCCCAAGGAGGCCTAGTACGCGTCTACAAACATATTATCTCTCTGCATACCAAAGAGCAAGGCTGAGAACTTCTCTTGTTATGCGAGGGGAGGAGGGGGAGCACTGAAACTGCATTTGAGAAAGAGGCACCACCTTAGGCAGAAAGCCGTCCTAGTGAAACGAGTTCTAACTTCCCATTACAAATTCTTCCGGAAATGTATCTATTCCTACAGTCCCACGTAATCTCTAGAAAACTACAAGTGCTACTATCTCACGTGGAATCATTACACGAGGAATTTGTACAAGGAGAGCTTGTGCAAGTGAATCCCTAAGCAGCCCTGCCTCCTGGGTAACTCACAACCTAGCTATTCTTCTGCACACTACTCCGCTATACAGGAGGCAACATTAAAATTTCATGTGCTTATTAACGCTTATCTCAATGTGGTCAAGTTTAAACATTTGACCTGGGTTTTAGTAAACAAAGGAATTTCTTTTCACCAACAGGAATCAATGTATGCCATGCTCTACATGTTTTCCATGCACAAGCAACAAAAACAGAACTTACTTGAGTTCTCCTCATGGCTCAGTGTTTTCTATTCCATTTCACAAGCTGTTAAATTCAGTATAACACAACAAAGCTTCTTAAGCAAACACGTTTAAAATGGTTTAAGTTGTACCTGAAAATAGCCACAACACATTTTCCTAGATGCACAACTACCATCCCTTCCCTGCCTTACCACAAATCCTGCCACAGACCGAGGACACTTCCCGTTCCCAAAAGCAGCACATACCCATCCTTGGCAACACAGCCAAGCCTGCACACCCACGCAGGCTCCTTCAGATCTGCGGCTCCAGAGAACTTGCACTAGATGGCAGCTTTCCCCTGTACAAGTCCATCTTCCTATAGCACCGCATTTCCACACCGCTCCCCCTGTGCTCTTCATAGGAGGGAAGCACACACTGCACCCAGGCAACGCAGTTGCAGAGCCGAAGTACTTTCTATTACAACACAGAACCCTTTAAGCTACCATGTTCTGATTTTCTTATATTTCTTTGTAAGATCAAGGGTGTCAAAAAGTGTAGGTTTAACACACACATACAAAAAAAAAAAAAAAAAAACCTGCCACAAATACATCAGTTGTGGCAAAGGTAGCAAAGCCTTCAATGTTGTCTAGCAAAGGAGAAATGTTTCCGTGCTGTGCTCATGCTGTCCAGCTACACTTACAAAACTAAAATACTCTGTCAATACCTGTCAAATTATAGCTTCTGAGAAAGAAATAATTTCAACCTACCACATTTCTGCATAATTGAATCCTCTTTTAAGCCAAGTCATATTCTGTCCAAATCCTCTGCAGCTTTTCCAATGAACACAGAACAGTGAGAGAAACATCTGTAACCACTTTTATGGCTTGTGAGAGCTGCTTCCCAAAATGACTATTCTTTTTTATGAACCTAAGTTATAAGGAAGAAACAACATTTTACGAGAAGTTTTTTTTCACAACTCAGGCAGTTTAAAAATTAACACTATTCAGACCTCTTGATTTTGAGATAGCACCTGCCATGTTTATAACTTAGTTTCTTTCAAAAAGTAACAGCAGCAATTTGTCTCATTCAGCTGTTAATTTATTTTTTTTTTAAGTGAGGAAGGATCAAGAATACATTCATGATACCTCAGTATTGACAAGACCATACATGGAAATTCCCTCATGCTCCTAATTTTCCTTTTGTTCTATTTCCTCCCTTGGTATTTTTTTTTTAACTTGTCTTCCACAAACACATATACCAATTTACACATTCCTTCTTAGGGAGATGATGGTCACTTCTATTTCAAGTCTGTTTCAAGTCTTCTTCCCACTGCACTTTTGTCTCTTCTTTAAAAGTAGAAGGGTAATTTGGGCTACCCAAAGACATACACCTCTCCCAGCAATAGAGATACCCAAGGAACTCTGACTACCCAGTTACTTCTAACAATTTACTAATTAGCATCTTCCTTGAAGATGGAATCGAAAACTCTTCTTGCTACAGTGATGGTAAAAGGACAGAAGTGAACCGAAGTTAGCTGATAAACACTGAGAAAAAGATCATGCAAATTGCAGTGTTAGCTCCTAAAACACTCAGGTTTCAGCCATGCCTTTGGGAAATACTCCCCTCTTCATAGAACACTGCATTTTTCTTAGAAAATTAAGAAAACAAAACTTTTGGGAAACAAAAAAGCATGCATGGCTTCATGGATAAGCAAGGCAATGATTAATAATATTATTTTAGAAAAAAAAAAACCTAACTTTTTTCAGTGCCTTCACCCCAACAGCCAAACTTCTTGTTTTCATTCCAACGTAAGTGCGTTGTTCAAAGCTTTCAGTTTTCTTAGATGATTCCTTCTCTATGAATTATTTATTATTTTTGGAGCAGTGTTTCAACAATGTCAGGGAAAGACAGATCAAAAGTCACAACAGTCAGCCAAGGCTGACTAACATGCAGACCACAATTTAGACTTTTGAAAACTAGAGATAAACACACACAGAGCTGGCCCTCCTCAAAACACTAACAAAATGCCTAGAAAGACATACGAACCAACGAGAATAATTTTATTATTAGCTTTGTAGGGCTTAATAGTTAATTTTATTCCTCTCATTTCAGTAGTGGATTTCTTCAATTACTCCACATTTACTAGCAAGTCTTCAGACAACATGGAATTATTTTCTTCCCCTGTTGAAAAATTCCTATCTGTTAATTCAGGGAAATCAAGTCCAGGGTCCCATTAAACTCCTCACTCCCATCACAGCCCCACCTCTAAATAGTGCAACAAACCTCTCATTTCACCTACAACCAGCCTGACCTTCCTACAGGGAGTATCCTTAAGAAAAAATAAGGAATATTCTTGACCCAAAAAAAAGCCCAAGCACCACATCAGGCAATATTCCTCCAGGGGCAACCTAAATATGAAAACTCCTGCTCTGATTCCACAGAGATGTTTTTATAAACTCCACTTCAGGTAATGAAACACAGACTGTAAATGTTTTTAGCCTTTCGGACTCATTTACATGATATTAAAAACACAACCAGAAATGCCAACAAATGAACAAAATAAAAACATATGGGGATATAAATAGGTTTGTATTGGCAGATATGCATCCAAAGTCTTATGATGGCAGGGTGTTTTTTGAAGTTCCCCTCAAAGCCACCACAACACAACACCCTTCTCAAATAAATCGTTGCCTACCATAGCGTTTTTAGCAGGAAGGAAATATTTTCTTACTTAAAAGAATATCCATAACCTTTTCTTTTAAAATAGTTTACTTGCAATCAACACAAAACAGAAATTAAAATTTGTAGAAAACAGGGTGTTTTTTAAAAATCATCAGACTATATGTAAGAAATGCTTCTAAGATTTTCTTGCATTTAAATGTTTTTTCTTAGCTGCAATCATGTATTCTGTTGCTTATTAATTTAGTTTGCATAGAAACAAATATCATATCTTCAGTGGATGCAGAATCTGTGCAATGACAAGTTAGTTTATGTAGAAAATAGATGTTCTAGGAAAAGTTGACCAAGTAGCAAAGCTAGTTTTGACTAGTTTTAGTCTGCAAGGAAAAGAAACAGATGTGTGCAAATTTGGGGTTTGGGGATGTCAAAAAGATTTACAAAATGGCAGATTTTCCATTTATATCTGTAGGGATAAGAGTTTGCACAACATTTTTCAAATTCATGCATACATAACATCTTTTCACACAATCTCTTTATACTGCTGCTGTTTATCACACTTAAAACCATTCACAGCCTTTTTAAGCCTACCAGTAACTATTACTAAGTACTGTGCTTCCCTTATAATGCAAGGAATCTCCCCTGGAAAGACTTTCTAAGCGTCCTTTCTATTAAGCTGCAGTTAAGGAAAGACTCATTTTTATGCAGTTCTAAAATTCCACAGCTGCTATGATTCTGTGATGCTTACAGATTTTCAGCCCCACACACAGAAAACTGTTTTTCCCTCTAAGTGAGGAAAAAAAAAAAAAAAAACAAAAAAAAGAAAGGCAAAGATCACACCCTTACTCACAAAGCACGTTTTTAATCACCAAGTGGTTAACCTGAACACCTTCATACAAACCAGAAGTTGCATCAAGTATGGTGGCAAGCCAGCACATACACCAAGGGGAGCTCAGGTCCAACCTGGACTGAAAAACCTGGACTGAAAAACCTGTGCTAACACATATTGACAGCATTTCCCTGCACCAGGGCAAGACAAGTCTTCACTCAAACAGTTTAATCCTTCTCTATTCCAAAGAACAGTTCAGAGTTGAACTGCAGAATGATGAAACCATAAGACAGAATTATTGCCAGAAACACTCTCAGTGAGAAGTATTCACTTTGCATTGCCATATACCTGAAGTTCACATTTCAGCTCTTGAACCTTCAGTTCTAATTTCTTCTGCTTCTGCAAGTGATTTATATTCTTCCTTCTGAGAACTTGTTTCTCTTCAGACAGCCTCTGATCTGATCTTATTTGTCCCAAGCTGGTGTCTGGCAGTCAGGTAGAAGCTAGACTATTTTCCTTTTAAAAATTAATTAAGAGGAATTAATTTTAAAAAAATCACATAATTTGCAGACAACCCTTTGTATGTTTTCCCCATCAGTAACTGAAAAGTCTTTTCCATCCAAAAACCATATTATAATACACTTACAATGCGCACTTACACTACAAACCCACAAAAGTCAAAGTCCACTGTAACTCAAATCTCCTAGCTAATAAATAAGCCGAAGCACTTTAGAGTAAATGTTGGGATCTATACCCTAAAAGTTGTTTTTGTAACAAAGAGGAGTGATGTAAAGCCATCTGTCTCCGAGTACTGTGACAATACTGTACACTACCAGAGCTCCGCTAGATCCCACATCAACTCCATCCTCACCTGCACGGCTTTGATTACATCCCAGCTTGTTTTCTTTTCAGGCATACCACCCCAAAAATGCTTGTGATGTGCAAAATATACAGAAAAGGAATAGAGAATCTCCTGGCTGCCTCCTGCTCAGGCCAGTCAGGACAACTTTATACACAAAAGCGCCTCAACACCGTGTGCCAAAAAGAAAAAAGCCCTCTTCCTTATTTAGAATCAGATTCACAGCATACCTGTAGCTCAAAAAACAGGGCAGATCAGGGTATCAATATAATTCAGGATGAGGCACTTTACTATAAAGTTGGAATATTTTGAAGAACACCTCATTTCATGTTACTATATATGTTAACAGCATAGACCTGCCTAAATGATCTAACTGTAAAACAGACTTTGATACTGTGCTGGTATGTGGGAGGGCATGCCCTCAGATGATTCTTTAAAATGTTCAAGAAGCTCAAATTATGGAACACTGGCAAATTCTAAATAAGTTTTTTGATAGAACCTTATATTTCTTACAGCATCTCAACTTTCTGAATGCCAAGTAACATTTTTCCCACCCACAAACATTTTCCTCAGCAGCCTGTTGCCATGGCAATCCTAGCAACTGCAGGACAAGTCTCTTTAAAAAGATTTCTGACAACAACTGTATCTGCCAACTTACCACCACCTCTTGTCAATGTAATTACAAGTTGCAGACAAACCGTTATCCCCTAAAGCTTACTTCAAACTGTGATTACTGGCTTTATTTCTTATAACCACACATTCTTACATTCCCACACAAATAAATCACCATAATATGTCTGTCCTGCTAGGTAAGTGTACTTTTACGATCCATATTTTTGTCCAGTGAGTTCTAAATAGAGATAAATAGGAGGGGATAGCTACAAAAAAGCTCGAGGACAAGCCTATGGAAATTACACAGATGCTAAAACAAGCAGCACTGCATTGGCTATCACTGCAAAATCTGCTTAGAGGCCCAATATCCTGCAACCTTTACTTTCAGCTAAGCTTTCTAGTATCTTCTCCTCTGCTTACAGGCTGCTACCCCTTCCTTCTTTTCAAAATCTTGCATTAAGATACATAGGAACTGTCTCTCAAAATCAAACAAGGAAGAGCAAGCTCTCCAAGCAGCAAGACTACTAATGCATAGTTTTCTGTGGATTAATGTCCTAATTCCAACCACGACAGCATGCACACATACTCACATGTATTTCCTTTCCATGGAGTACCAGTACTACCTGATGCTGGAAAGAGAAGGATTCAAATTTGTATTTTAGGCACCCACTTCCATCTTCTTATATACCACCATCCCGGCAACTGGGCTAATCAGATCACTCACACCAGTTGCCCTGTGACATTCCACTGGCTTGCTTTGGGCCAAATGTATGGTTTCCAGTAAAATTCTGATTCCCTGAGCTGGCAGATACTTGGTCAGAGCATCCTCTTGGGGTGCTGTACAGTGCTTGATCAGACCTGTTTACCCACCGTAGAACTGAAACTTTTACCTTCCAATGTTAGTTTTGTGTGACAGCTACTTTTCTTTTCCTCATCCTTAGTGTTTCCTGGAGATGTGTATTTTTAGTAAACCCTGTCTTGACCACCTCTTCTCCAATATCTGTTTTTTTGTATTCTGCCTGGGCAACAATGGTACCATCTTTATGATTGGCTTTGTGATGTATTTTTATTTCTTTTTCAAAAGCTGGGCTGCTCAAAAACTTCTTCCCCTCTAAAATAAAGATATGATGAAGTTGCGTACTGGACACTCAGAAAACTTTAAACTGAAATCCACCATCTCTCTTCTGAGAAAAAAATGGCATCTTTAAAACCAAAACCCAAATAGCTGCACAGGTAAATCTTATGTTCAACACATTTGTTCTGAAACAATGCTACTACCTGTATAACTACAACTGTGCCTGACCTAATCACTGTCAACATCAGACTGGACTTCAACACCAATAGCTCTCCCTCAATGTTCAGCCTTGAAGAATTCAATATCATAACTGACAGAAGTCCAAAGTCCCATCGACTCTCAATAGAAGTTGGCAAGTGGGTTATCCAATTCCTTTTGAAATTTACTTTACTCAAACTATTCCTGCAGAAATTGGGAAATGCCAGAATTGGCAGACACCAGTTTCACCAGTTTCACAGTTTTGAAAGACTGGGGAATGTATTCAAGATCTTTGCAAGACATCTGCAAGAAAGTTATCTTTTATTGACAGGGTTTCATTCTTATTTCCCCACCACTTCTGAAAACAAGCTGATTTTGTTAAAAATTAAGAATGGAAGTTGTAGGGTCAGGAAAGCTGCACAGAACAAGCAAATAAAGCTTTGGCTTCAGCAGTAAGAACTATTATTTGAAAAAAAAAAGGAAAAAAACCCAAAAAAACATAAAACCTCAGGGAACTGACAACAGAGATTTTTATCTGTCTTTGAAATCACATTTAGTAATGTCAATAGGACCATGGGGATGCGGCCATGCACAAGGGCTCTTGGGATCTCTTCTATATGATAGACGAGGCAAGCTGGACAGATGCTTCCTGCTTCCTCCTCCTCCTGCAACATCTGCTCCCAAGCCACTGGCTAGTGAAGCACAGGCAGTGCCAGTGACAATCCTTGAAGTGGCATGCTATGACTGTCAAAGGTCTCCCAGAAAATGAGACCACCACTGGTAAAACTTACCAGTCCTGTTGCCATCACTTCCTGCGACTTTTATGTTCAGTGCTGGCCAGGAACAACAGCGTTCCTACTCCCACCTGCTATTCTTTCTCTTGACCAAAAGTTTGCATAGTACCCAGGCATTCAAGCAGCTCATGGATATAAGTGAATTTATCACAAGTTCTGTGACCAAGGGAGGTATGTTTTTCCTCTGAAGGGAAAGAAACAGAGGTACTTTGTTTCCGTAGTGACAGAAAGAACTTGGGTCAGACAGAAATAGACTTGAGGCTCTGAAGATGGCAAAAGCGCACTCTAAAAATCACCTCCCCGGCACATTCTGAACCATTTTTGACCAAACCATTTAATTTCTAGAGTAGGTTCACAGCAACAGATCAGACGGTCCTTCCCAGCATGCCCTGCCTTCACAGTTAAACAGAGGACTCCTCCCGGGAACACTGTGTGGGTATTTGGCAGCATCTGCTTCAGGTCAAGTAATCCAAATTATATAAAATCTGTTACTCACCTGGTTACACGTGTTTAAGTTCTGATCAGCTGGTCTGTGCAGTGCCCAGAGTCTGTACTTCTTATCAACACTGCAAACATTGCAAGTTTGGTGGAATTTTAACTGTGTTTGGTCTATTCGGAATTTAAGATTTTCCACAGTCAACGTACAACACCTGACACTGCATAATAAAATATAAATCAGCAGAGGTTATTCAAACCTCCTACAGAAATGTGCACTGACAACTACTAGAATATAAGCACGCTGAAGAAATAAGAATCTTCTATACTAAGCCCAGATACACTTCAGAGGAAGGAACTGAGAGAAATCTCTTGCACTGGTACCTGTCTAAAAGCTTAGTGACAAAACTTTAAGTAACAAAACAGATCTCTGCTGGCAATTATTTTCTCTAAAGGCTACAATTAAGAAGCAATAGAGAAGACTTTTTATGGCCAGATATGTAATGTTTCCATGCCAAACAGCCTGTCTAGAAATGATAATTTTAAATAGGAACTATTAGCCCTCTGTATCAGTCTCCTAATGCTGATTAGCAACTCTTTCAGGTCATTTCCATCAGAGCCAAAAGCTCCCTTTGGATGTTTGTCATAGAACTGCTACTAAATATGTCCTGGTTATCTTCTCAAGAGTACTTTATCCAGCACATTCAACATTACAGATTTTTAAAAGATCTTTCACACTTCTTGAGATGGAGCAAAGAACCACTTCTCTGAAAAAAGCATTGCTCTCTTGTGAAAGAAAAACCCATGAAGTATACTGGACAAAGAAACTCAATGCAGCATTCTGTATATATACTACAATATATATATATACTACAATATATATATTCTGTATATACTACAATACTACCTTATTGTAGTATTTCATGAGTGTTAAAAAAAAGAACAGTGTTTCCATAATTTTACTGAAGTGTGAAGTCCAGTCAGACTTGCTCACACAAAATAAGTGTTTTCTTTAGGAGAGCCAACAGTTCTTAAAGAGAACTTAAGAGAATAGAGCCCACAGCATAATCAAAGATAAAGAAAATAACTTAAGCAGTGGTTGCATAGAATGAAAGCTTTTATATCCAGGTGAAAAAAAACCCCACATACAAAACCTACTTACCTGACTAAAATCAGGTTTGCCAAAAACTGCATTAGTACAAGGAGAAGCTTCAGTCAGCGCACAACATATTTTCAAGAGGTCATTACATCTACTGACATTCAAAGTGTGGAGAGAGCACAGAAGTTATTAACTGTCATTTTTAATAGATACTTGATGGCTTATAACAGCCAAAAATTAAATCAAAATAGTTGCACAGCTGTTGAGACAAGTAATGCCCCACCCTAATCTTTCAGTCTTCACGATTTTAGGTGCACTTGAAAGCTTGTTCCCAATTTCTTCCAAGAATTAATGAAACAGATCTGGGCAGGTAATGTACCTCAGAGAAATAGTTTGCAATGAACAATTTTAACAGTTTAATTACCAGCTAGCTGTCTGCAGATCTTACTTATCAATCCTCACAAATGTTAGTATGGATGTGGTATCTGTTTTCTTTCACTGTTTAATAAAAGGAGACAACAGCTCTGCCATACCCTTCGTTTTCTTTACATGCAAGACTTTTGTTTTGGTTTGGCTGAGAGAAAAAGAGTTTTTCCACTTACAACTTAGTATCTGAACCACTGTAAAACTAGGTCAATTCCAGTAACATAGCTTTCAGTAGACACCATTCTACTCATAACTCCAAGGAAAGGATCCAGAGCTCAGAGCTGGAAAGAAAACACTTGTGCAACCAAACATTTAGTTAACCTTAGAAGCACACTCCTAACTTCGGTACCTTACAATATTAAATAAAACACTGCAACTGAGTTGCAGAATGCCAAGGGGAGAATTAAGTATGACTATTACATATAAAAATCCCTTTATTATAAAAAGCTATTCCATAAACAGAATAAGTAAAATTTGGTCCCCCTTCCCAAATTCCTATTGGGAACATGACAAGGAGCATTACCTCCACCAACTGGCTGAAAGCTACAGGGATGTTGACCATACACTGATTAGCCTGCAGACCAAACAGGAAAGGCAAGATGTGGTACTCCTTCTGGATTTTCCCCTCTCCCTGCTACATGCCCCACATCAAAGAAAACCATTAATTGTTTGGGGTTTTTACTTTTTCTCACTTTCCCCATCCAACATCCTTCTGCCCATCTATACAAAAATTGACACTTTTAGGGTAGGAGATCCACCCCCAGCAGGACTCCAACTGCCTCATACAGTATTCCTCAGTCAATAGCAAATATTTTAGCTATCGATTTTTTTTTGACCTACCAAGTATTTAAGAAAGCGTAGCTACAAACTTATTTGTCCAACATATTCTCATTCATCATGCGTTCACTGGATGAAAATTCTTTTTGACATTTCAGAAAAGAATAACTGTTTAAAATTTCCCTTTAAAAGGGAATAATAATACTTGCAATTCTGAAATTGCTCACTTACACAGAAACTTGATGAGGGGGAGGAGATAAGATTAAACATTTCAGTTAAAATCAAATAGTTTTCTGAATTGACCTGTGCCCAAAATGTTACAGCTTCTTCAACATGGCAGCCCACAACATGGAAGCATTCAAGGCCAGGTTGGATGGGGCTTTGAACAACATGGTCTAGTGGAAAGTGTCCTTGCCCATGACAGGGGTTTGGAACTAGGTAATCTTTAAGAGCCCTTCCAACACAAACTATTCAGTAATTCTGTGATATTGAGGAAAAGAAAAAAAATAAATTTTCCTCAAGCATAGGATTATGAACTTGTTTGTTTCAAAAAACACCCCACTTTACCTTTGTCATACTCTGTATTTCTATCTGTGACAAAGGATTCTGAAATCTGTTGATGAGTCTGATTCATCAACTGCGAAGTTAAACATTCTGATGGTGAGGTGAAGATGTGGCAGAGCTGATAAAGTGCCTGATAAAGGAACAAACAAGTGATACTATTGAGAACTTACCTAAAGCTGCTGAGCTGACGCAGCTGGCCTGGAGACATCTGACTGACAGTCAATCAATCACTGACTGACAGTCAAGCCCAGTCCCACTTTCTAATAGTCTTCTACCATGTCCGTTTTTGGAGTGCGTGTAAAGATTCCTCACTTGAGGCTGAGCAAATATTTGCCCACAGTCGTTGGTATGGGTGAATAACACCAATCTCTACTTATTAATTGTCTTTGCTAGTTTTAATATAATTGCTTCAGTATTGCTTCAAAATAGTGCACTGTACTATACTAGTAGTTATAACTTCTATACTGTGTAGTAAATAATTCTGATTATGATATTTTAGTCTAATCCTTATCGTAATAAATATTTTTTTAATATGAATATATCTGGTTTGCCATCCTTAATTCTGCGGGATAAAGTTGTGCAAAAGTTCAGTTACATCTGTATGATTGTTTAGACATTAAATGTTGACCAAGTCTGGGGCTAAGATTGGATCCAGCCCCAACTAGACTCCTCTTCTGAACAGGAGTTCAGAAAGCAAGGGGTCCTTGCTGCACCTCCTGACCCGGCGGGAAGGCTTCTCTAATAAACTTTGTTTGAAGCTCCCATTCTGCCCATAACACAGCACTATGTAGGCAACATGTTATGGTTGAGCCTCGGACCTTCCCTAAGGAGCTAAATGAAGGAACCTGTGAGATTAGTGCCCAGCTGTGCCAGACAGAATGGGTACAGTGAATGCAAAACCAGTGTGAAGCAAGGAATGATTCACTCCACCAAAAGAAAAATGCTAAAGACTCCAAAGCAAGAATAGGCTTCTAGGCAAAAGTATTATATTTAGTTACCCAAAAAACACCCAACAACAGGTACACCTGTGCAAGGTCTTTTCGACTGGAAAACCTTTGTTGTTGTTTTCAATTATTTTTGTGCTAACACTACCTGCATAGTTGTCTCTTTTTTCTTAGACCACATGGCTACAAACCACTTCTAGAGAGGCTCCAGGGACATACAGCCACAAGACCACCAACTGTTTAATATGCACAACATGCTGTAAAGACACTGACAGCTTGACAAAGTGAATCTGCACGGATGCCGTTACTGGTTGTGAATTCACACATCACATTCCCCTTCATCCCCGAACCTGAGACAGACAGACATGGTTTATATTTAGCATCAGAAACACCCAGGATGGGAAGGAGACCCTTGCCCTCCACTTAGGATCACTTAATCTTTGCCCAAGACCTATAGGATTATACTTTAACAGTTTAGAGGACTCTTGTGTATGACAACAAAGCCTTTCCCTCATGCCTGATTCCTTGGATCAGGGTCAGAAAGAGTTAATGTGTCTAGCTGAACGACTGATAAACGCCCACCAATAAATCATACACATGAATGGTTCTTATCTGTTCTATGATATTTTGTTCAAAGTTCATGGCTGCTCTCAGGAAAACAAACCATCAACAAATACCAGTTAAAATGAGCTCTTTATTTAATGACAACTGTTGATGGCAAACACACTAGCATTTGGTCTCTGCTTTTATATTATTTTTAAAAAAAATTCTTTTGTAATAGATGTATAAAGAGATTTTTCAATAGAATTGGAGGTTGCAATTTTATGCTACAAATTTATTTTTTTTAGGATAAATTCAAATTTCACTTAAGACATGACATCCGAGTTCCTTTTTTTGACAGTCAGCAATATTGAGATGCATTGTACCAGGTTTTTCATGTACAGATATAAATAAAATTTCAGAAAAAAAGTATTATGTGAATACCAAGAAGCAAAAGTATGCCTTCTAGTAAGGAAACTGAGTTTCTTTTCCTTGGACATCCTCAACATGAGTGAAAAGTGGTTAGAACTCCTAAGTAATATTTAAATGCAGTTGATATTTTTATGATTCAACCTGTTTTTCAACTAAAAAGTAATACCATAAAATAAATGTAATAATGTTTTTGTATCATTTAAGTGGAAACATTAAATAAATTTAAGCACAGAATAAAAAATTTTTAAAATTACTTTAACAAAACCAGTTCATGATGATCACAGTAGAGCTTAGTAGAGCTGAATTTGGCAGAGTTAACATTTAAAACTGACAAATATTTTCAACTTGTAATGTCAAAAAAGCAGAATACATTTTTTCCCAAGAGTTATGTTATCACTATAAAAAGGAATGCAAAACACAAGTTTATTGTAACTATTAAAACCTCTGCCTTTAACAATATTTCTCTGTGAGAAAGCTCATCCCTGAAACACACACATACATTTCCAGAACTGCATTCCCTAGTGGGTAAAGTCACAGGGATATATCCAAAACTAGAATAAACTTCTGCTATTAAGCTTGTGATAATCTCTCTGAAAACTGAAATATTTTTTTCTGTATTTTTAGTTACCTTTTTTTTTTTTACCAATGTTATTTATATTTGGGTTTTTTTCTCGTGATTTCATTGTGAAGTCTCCATTTACTTACAAGACCAAGCAGAGGATACGTAGAACGGATTGCTTGCCAGGGCCAGAAGAGGGAGCTCAAATTAGTATTTTCACTTATTAGGATAAAGCAGCATGTACCTGTGTAGAATTTAACAGTAAAGGTACTTTTATAACATTAATTAGCCGCTTTGATGTATTATGCATTTAAACTAAAGTAACAGATTAGCTTGTCTGATTGGCATCTGCAGTAATGGCTGTATAGGTCAGAATTAAGGCAAATGGCTCTCTTAAATCTTTGAATTTCAGCAGTTGAGCCTTCCACTCCCATCTCATTCAGATTCCAGCTGTCTCCATCACTCACTGTATGACCCACATGCACTCCTAAGAACTCTCTTTCCCTGTCTGAACAAAAAAGCAAGTTGCCCTGCACTAAATGCCTTCAAACTCACCTCTTTTCCTTTGCCCATCAGGCACATAGAGGCTTTCTCTCCAATGGGAAACAAAGCTTTGTAAGCTTCTCCCAGTTCTTGCTGTAAAGTCTCAGTACATAACTATCTGTAAAGTCTCCAGTCCAAGAGACATCTTCAAGTATTTTTAAGGACAAACTGACTTACACCTCTCTCTTTTCAAAGGAGAATAAGTTAGCTCAGGCTCTGCTTTTACGTCCTAAGCTGCACCCTCTGCCAGTTATTCCATACCAAGTTCTTGCTGTGCTGCTTCACAGAATTAAACTACCACACAAAGTCACCAAATTTTATATTTTCCTGTCCACTACCTTTAATACAACATATGCTGCCACAGCTGTGCATATGGACAAAGAATGCAAAAGCACATCTCCTCAGTCTGTGTTGGATTAGACATAATGAATCTGCTGGATAAAAAAATTGTATCAAACACAATACAATTATTTATTTACATGTATTAAATAACAAATCCATTTACACTTAATGTTTTCAGAAGTTTAGTGTAATAGTTGTTATGGACAGTAACAGACAAGCAAAACTGGGAGAATGGTACCACCAGAAAAATCTGGGATAAAGTATACAAGCAAGATCCCTTCAAGTAGTTCATAAGTGTGGAAATGGATTTACAAGAGTACAGAATGCCACATGTAAAAAAGATTTATATGATGGCAAGAACAGAGCCTAGAGAAGTGTGACAGAATAACGGTATGTTTGAATTTTATGTAAAGGAGATGAAGCCAACAGAAAGGAAAAAAAAAATTAAAGGAAATATTAAAATGTCAATATTAACAGAACAAATCTCACCAAGTAAAAATCCACAAACAAGATGAGTTCAAAGGACTCTACAAATAAAGAAAATGTGTCACAGAAGTCTAAGAGTAAGACATAGTTTTTTGCCCTCTGACAACCTAATATTTAAATATATGGTTATTCTCTCAGACCTTAAATAACAGTTCTGCAACTCTCTAAATATGATTTTCCATTCTCAAATAAATATCTATGTAACAGTTCTGGAGATTAGAAACACATTGATTAAAGAATCAATTTTATTATAACAAGATAATTAAAAATTAATTTCAGCAAAATAACAAAACAACAGAATAAATAAATTAATAAAGAGAAGTATGCAGGTAGGCACAGAGAAAAATACTCAATGCAATCTGAGCAGTGTGCCAAATAATAAATATTTATTTGTTTATTTATTAATCTCATGGCTTCTTTGATGGCACTGGACTTTTCCCTCTCCGTTTAGCTGCTTTCTCCATTTTCAGCTGTAACAAGAAAAGACATCAACAACGGTTGAAGCACTAATTTGGAAGTCAGCTAACAATGCAATATTAAATTGCTACATCCAGCCACAAATTTACCAGAGTGATACATGCAGTGAAGAGAGTTACAGAGCATTATTAACCCAACCTAGCATTGCTTATGTTTGCAGCATAGGACAAAGGAGCACTTTCATAGCTCTACTGCTCCTCCCCTATTCAAACCAGGGCTGCCTTATTTCTGATAATGGCAATCTAGGTACTTATGTATTCCTCAAGGCCAGTGTGCCTCACAGATGTTCATGAGTTTATCTCTGTGTAAGGTGAAGCAGCTTTCTTACAGTCACCGAGGAATGGTGCTGAGATAGATGCTAAATCTCCATCTCAGTGTCTCCTCACTGACCCACAAGGTCATGACTTCCTCTCGTGAGATTTTTTTCTACACAGTAGGCTCTTACAGCATGGTATGATTTACCA